TAATAACTTTTTAATAAACAAAGATGGAACTTTTTCACTATTTTTCTCGTGTTTGTCGTCAAAATTGCTTTCAGAAACGACCTTTCGGAATAAGGAAATAAGATAAATAGATAAGATAAATAGCGGGCTAAAGTTATTATGATCGTGCCCAATTTTAATATTAAAATATAATAGATTAAAAAAAAAGTTTTTAATGTGTATAAATTTTATTCTTCATTGGCATACCTAGACCAAGCATTTTCTATTCTTAAAATGAAACTAACTAGTTGACAGACAAACTGTTAGACAAAGTCATCTTTGAATATTTTCCTCTTTTTTCCCTATAATACAACGACCATCTAAAAGTAATCAGCATTGATTGAAACGAGACGACTCACACTTTCTTGTCGCATAGTTTTTTTGTCAATATGTCAACTTACAGTTTCTATAGGGAAATTATATAAATGTTTGGTCTATATAATATACGTTATTGCTAATTGGCGTATTTTTTTAATATCATCATTTTTGTAAAAAAGAGCAGATTTAAACAATAGAATATACATTAAAGCAGCACTTCTTTACAGTTTCCGAAACAGACTTGGTTTCTGTTTTCATCCCGACGGTGCACATTTCAAAAATATACTATCATTAAAATTGTTGATATTTAACATTTTTTAAATTATGTGTGTGTATTTATATGTATGCGTATATTGTTCCAATATTAGAATTATTTATCCAATAAAATCCAATATAATTGCATATTACATATATATTTGTATATATGTGTTTAAATATAAAAAATCGTAGGAACCACAAGAGAGATATACTCTATAAGAGATAAAATAATTAAAAGTATTAAACTCGTTGAAAGGTGACAATGTAATTGCTACAATTCTCTTATATTGTTTGATTATAAAGACATAAGAGCGAATTAAGGATTACGGCATTCTTGAACGGGGACACGAGGCCAAGGTTTAGCATTGTAATATCCTTGAGCATTCTCTGTTATCCAATGCTAATGTTTCTCACATTTTACCGTCAACTTGTCGCAATGCGAATGTTGCATGCATAGAATCTAGATTGCGCGCGCGTTGCGATTTATGAGTTAGCTGGTTATAAACATGATTTCACAAAAAAATTATTTTCGAACTACTCTATTATATATATGTAATTTATCATAAAATGGATGCATTATATTTTTAACTTTTTAATTAATTATGAAGTTAATGTGTCCACAGCAAAAATTTTTAAATTGAACTATTTTTTATTTCTTAATTTTTATATTTTCAATGCTTAATATTAAAAATATATGTATGGAATACTTTATATATATAGGGGATAGTAGGGTAAAACTTTTTTGGAGATGTCTTCCTACAAAAAATCAGAGAGCAAAAAGAATTCTACTGATCGTTAGTAATCTTTAATGGACCTTGAACTATGAGAAAATGAAGCTAGTTGCTGAAAAAAAAATTTGATTACCAAGGATAACAAAATTTTTTGAAGAAGTCAAAATACCCGGTTTTGTCCTACCGGTAGATCGGATACCAATTTGAAAACATAAAACACCGTAATTACGAAATCTTTATTTAAATACGATACAAAATACGATACAAAAATGTATTCTAAACAAAAATCACAAATAAAGACAACCTCTTGCTCCACATTGCTGCAGGACTTTTTTATTTAATTTTTTAACTTTTGTGAAATTTTTCTCAAAAAATTTTTTTTAGTGATTTCTTTTTTTGAGTGGCAGTCTCTATCTCCAATTGCTTTTTGTAAAGAGACAAAGTCAGAATGGCAGATTTTCTTTTTTTCATTATATGAGATGTGTAAGTACCCGGTTTTGCACCAACATGAGGTAAATAACAAACATGGCGGCTGTACATTCCGGCGTACAAAGTGACGATCAGAACTAGTGCGATATATTCTCTAATACATACAGAATGCAATGTTACATTTACCGAAACAGATGCTCTGTGTGGAAAAAATCCACGATGACTCGATTGTTATCTCCTTATCGATCTTTTTTGGTCCGAAAACTTTGGACTTTTCCCAAAAAAGAAATGTCGTGTGCACGTGGGCAGGGTTCATTACAAAATAATGATGGTGTCAATCTACAACTAATAGCACAAGTTGGCCAAAGATAATAGTACTTATCACAAAGAAACAGAGGTACCGGTTTGATCCGCCTACCCGGTTTTACCTTATTTTCTCCTATATATATATTTTTTTTTTTTAAATTACACTTGATAGAATAATGATATTTATGTTTTATTGCGCTCGCATTATCACGGCGAATATTCGAAAAACACAATAATGCTTCTTGCCGCGAAAAGGTTTCTCTATGATCATTATCCTAAAAACAATGTATCATGATTGACGGCATTATTCGTTTTTTTTTAGGTGATGACGATGGCTTGTCTATGTTGAGATGTTAATTAAATGCTAAAGGATCTTCCACTCACAACAGTGGATAAAGAAGATCGAACACGGGAATGAGTGCTTGCGAAAGTTGAAGGAGGAAATCTACACAACGAATAACAACAGTCTGCCTCCATTGCGACCAGCCAGATATCTCACATTAAGGTACGTGAATATAATACAAGTTCCAAAAAGTTTCCTATGTGTGTGTCTGGAAGCAATCCTGGTAGACTTTTTCCGGACTCACGCGTAAATCTGACTGCAAATTTTCCTTGATGTCTTGAACCATCTGAAATTGGCTTCTTTTCAAAATGGCTTTCAGTTTAAGAAAAAGGAGAAGGTCTGCCGGAGCCAAGTTAGATGAGCAGAATGGCCGAGGAACTATAATCTTTATTTTAGTTAAAATATCACAGATAAGCAACAATGCATGAGTCGATAAATTATCATGATGAAGAAATTAGCGATTGTCCTTCGAACTCAGGCCTTTTTTTCCTGACATTTTTTTCTTAGACATTTTAACACTTCAAGAGAACACCATACTATTTCCTTTTTCCTAAATTGAAAGTCATTTTTAAAGGACGACGATTTTAGATAATTCAAAATATCAAGGAAAATTTGCAGACAAATCTACGCGCGATCCCAAAAAAACCTACCAAAATTGCTTCTAGGAATGACAACTGTGCTGGAAGCGGTGTATCGAGAGAGAAGAGAAATACTTTGATTCAAGCTTAACTAGATTGCACAGGTAAGTCTTAAAACATTACAAAAAAGTTCTGGACAAACCTACATGTGAGATAATAACAATATCAGACTATGAATAAAATTATAAATTGCAACAATACTTTGTTATACAAAGCTATATTACTTTTGGATTTCTACAAATAGTAAGGTAACAATTTTTATTTTTGTATATTATTTATTATATTATAAAAAATCATATCTCTCTAAAAGCTTATATATTTATATATACCTATATATATACTATATATATAAAACACTTGAAAACTTTTTGACATACGGAATAATAATTTCTAATTACTGTAAGTTTGCCGCTAGCATAGTTTATGATGACTTTCTTAGATTTTTTTCAAAAAGAAAAAATATTAAAAGAAAGAAAAAAAAATTTTCGTCGCACAATTATATCGCAATTGATCTTATTTCTCACCTCCTTTTTACTCCTTGTCCTTTCGTTTTGCATAATTCTTTGTGTTGTTTTGCCGATATGAATCGTGTCACGATGTGATTAAATAGTCCCAATGAAGTTTTTCTCATTCTCGCAGACTCTCCTCATGACTATTGCTCTAAAACGGTCAAGTTTGTTCTTCGCGACGTTGTTGATATATAAGTTCACCGATTTGGCAAATATTTGTTACAATCAAGTTTCTTCACTGCCAAATGATGAATTAGATTAATAAGATTATCTGTGAAATTGATCAAGATTCAAAATTTATTTTCATCATCAACACGGTTTTGCATATTATTAATATTGGTAATGTACAACATTACCAATAGGTGTTAAAGAAACATATAATTATAAAAATATTTAAAATATATAATGCAAATATATAATAATATCGACAATAATAATACAGAAAATAATATAGTTACTTCGACTTTAACAATTTTCAAATATTTTGTAAACATCTTTAAGCGTTTTATATTAATTAAGATACTTTTGGTTAAAGATTAATGTTGCGGAAAAATTAAGTGCACTATAGTATTTTGATCTATGCTAGGTAGCAGTATGTAAAAGGTTCGTTATTAGAGAGTCCTGATCACAAAGTGTCAGTTATGTATGTAATGTAGACGAAGATAGGATTGTGGGGGTAGGCTGAGATTTGTGAAGTCACAAAACGTGAGAAGAGCGTGATATGAAAATGAATCGCGCGCGGACTCAGAATGAAACGGGTTGAGCCATATGATGTATCTATAGCGTCTGGTACCGCAACGTTCCGTATTGATCGGACGACATCAGCTGTACGCTGTTGGTAGCGTTTATACTAGTATGAACGTTTGTCGGTTTAACTGTCGTTGCTCACTACCACTGTTCGCGATGCTCTCTTTTCCTCTCTGTTACGCAATAATATTAATGTATCACAATTATGTATAATATATGTATAATTATGTATAATTTAGAATGATGCGACACATGGTGACAGAATTTTGTATAATATATAGAAGGACAAAGATGTTTCATCTATCTGTGCAAACATTTTTTGTTTGTTTTTGTTTTAAGATTATTTGATCAAAATAGTTAATCTAAAATTCAAACAAAAAAAAACTATATATATACACTATTCAGAAAAAATAGGGAACCCTTTTCATACGTTAAAAATTGGGCTACTTTCAAACCGCTGAAACTCGGTGAACAATCATCGTAGACAAAAACTTGAAAAAGCATTTTAAAGTTGATGTTTCAACTTGAAAGTGCTACCATTAGTTTAAAAATCTTTTTTATCTTCTTTACTCTGTGCTTTAAAAAAGGACACATTGTTTTGTTTCTTAAAATTACGTATTTTTAATACTCTGCATTATCCCGTAAATATAAACAAACATTTTTTCCACGTCTGCTCTACAACAAATACAACGTATACAAACTTCACTTTTCCTAATATTACTTTATAATACCTGAGAAAAAGCATTAAAACTGTGAAACTTTAATTTGTTATATCTCCTAAACCAATAGCGTCCCCAACTTATTTCTTGCGAAGAATTACTGAGAAGAACCTCCTTTATAACATACACTTTTCCTATTACTTTATAATACCTGAGAAAAAGCATTAAAACTGTGAAACTTTAATTTGTTATATCTCCTAAACCAATAGCGTCCCCAACTTATTTCTTGCGAAGAATTACTGAGAAGAACCTCCTTTATAACATATTTAAGTGGCGTTAAAATCGAAAGTGTGTACCTTTTATGCAGTTTTACTTAAGTTGAAATATAAAGCGATTGTGCATGCGAACATTATCATGCATTAAGGAGAGTGCTTAAATATTTATTCTCTATTATCAAAGTTAAATAAATCTTTAATTAAACAAAATTGTACTTACGAAGACATATTTTGTGATTATGAAATCACCAGAGAACATTTAATTCTTCTTTTTTTTTTAAATTTGTTACAAAGTGAATAAATCGTTTGGCATTCTCATTCTTTATTCTTCGCACAATCAATTGTGTTACTAAAGAACGCATATATTATTGTTTTGTTACACAATTCTTTAAAAATAATAGAACTTAATATCAAAACATTCATTATACATATATTATTAAAAACTGAAAATTAAATTTTGTCAATAAATTTGTACTTGATAACCTATTTGATACTAGCTATTATATCATAATACTATAAAGGTATTATAAACATATTTCGCAATCTTAATTATTACAAAATGCCTTTATTATGAACGCTACTTTTAAGCAAGCAGTGCTTTAAGCAAACAAGATTGCCAGCAATTATAACAAATTAACAACTTATTATAATAACAACTTATTTAACAACTAATTATCCACTTATTTTTATCAATAATCTCTTGAAAAGCTTTATTCTCCCTTCCAAAACAAGAGAAATCATAATTTACATTAATTAAAATATTTCTTAATATTGATAACAAAATGTTACTTTTTTTGTTTCAGATGACATAGAATGGGTTGGGTGGCGCTAGGGCGGTGTGCGGGTGGTGGCGGCCGCCTCTCGTCCATCCTTTCGCTGTCTCTTACTTCCCTCGCTAGCTCCATCATCTTCACTTTCCTCTGTATCCTCACACTTGCTTTTACTCTCGTCACTCTTGCGCGTGCTGAAAACATGTACGTATTGCACACAAAATAATTGCTATATGTGAATTGTTTCTTAGCTTCTCGATCGTCTTATTGGGCAATTTACTTTTATAATCTAAAAAATAAAAATAAAATGGTAATATTAGAAAAGCGGTGGAAATGACGAGAAGCTAAGTCCGACTGTATTGTCGTAGACCATTCATATTTAATTCTTTAAAGAGGAAGGAAGATTGTATTATTGGCAATGAATGATGCAGATTTAAATAAATTTTATATTTTCTGTTTTTTCAATATGGAACTTAAGTTATCAGCGATACTGTGAATAATAAATAAGATCTTTTAAAAATAATTTTATTTCTACATAGATAACAAACTTAAAAAGCAAATAATTTAGCATCTTTTACAATTCTTACGTCGTTAAAATTGCTATACTTGGTTTACTATAATATTCATTCGTATCCTATAAATGTGGCTTATGAGTTACGATCTCGCAATCAATGCGCAACATACATATTATATTGACACAATATAAACAATTGACAAAAATATACTTCTTTCTTCTTACTTTAGAGCAACTTATACATAAATGTCTGTAATTGATTACTTGATAAATTCGTTCTGTTATTTGTCGGAATCTTAATCGAAGAGAGCGAGATGAGAATTACGACAATTTTTCTGCATGTAGAACTGTATAACCTAGGATTTTATGGAAGAATAGAATGATCAGTATTTTTATGTCATTACGCGATTAATAACTGGTGATGAAAGAAATCAAGTATCAGTATTACGAATGTTTCAAACGTATTATTGCATCGAATGTGATAGCATAAGTAGCCCAGTGGTGAGTTCACAAGTTCTCTGGTAGTATCTTATAATGTAATACACAGTGAAGTTAGATGCAGTTTAGTGCTTTAGAAAGCTGCGTCTGTTTCTAGTAAATTGGTAGATTTTTATATTATGTACATGCATACATTAACATCTCAAATGAATGTGATATATTTCATATTTAGAACGTTAAATGAAACTTTAATCAAGTTAACTTCGGCCATTTCAAAGATTGATGTTTTTAATTTTATGAACGTTATTGTTCTTTCTTTATTAAAATTCAAAGAGTTAACTTTATTATTTTTATCAAATTATTATATATTGCAATATTTTTTATTATTCGTCATGATCACAACAAAACAATCTTCGAGATATTGAGATAGGGAAGGCTACCTACTGGAAGTTTGCGGGAAAACTCACTCTATGCACCATGAGCTCGCCATGTTTCTTCTGGATGCATCTACAGTACGTTGTGTTACAGCTTCGAAGAGGGCAAGTCGGACAAGGAGATTCTGGACAACTTGTTGCATTCGTCGCGTTATGACAAGCGGCTTCTACCCCCGGTCCAAGGTACACTGAGGCCCCATCCCACTGCCCATCAAGGCGACTACAACCTAACCTGTATCCAATGACCCTCGACCATCCAGAGCACCTCGAACATCATCGGCACCGCTACCACCACACGCACCACACAACCACAGCTCACTGCTCACCCTTCATCAAAAGGGTACTCTCTATAAATCAATTTGTCCTCGAAAATATAAAAAAAGAATAATATAATAGAAATATACGAATATATAGAGGAGGAAAAATAAGACACGCATAATCGAGAAAATGAGACGCGATTCCAACGAGAGATGTGTTCCAGCGAGCAAATCAACGATTTTTCTCTCGTTTTGATTTTGCGTGTTCACGGGAAAAGTATATTTGAATAAGCAATTTTCAGAATTATTGAATGTTTCTTTTGTCAAATTAAATTGATTCGGTCTTAAAGAAATTTGATTCAACGTCGGTTTTTTCTATTGATTTTTCTCTAATCAAGGAATGAAAAAGTAAATGAAGTATTAGATGAGGTTTCTTCAGTTCCCAATATATTGTAGGAATTATCAAACAAATTTTTGTTTGTGACTTCAGGCTTTTTCGCTTTTTATCTCTGTCACAATTTTAATTTAGCTTTTAAAAAAATTTTATTGTTATATGGTGTATTTGACAATTTGACTAATTCATCAGAAAAATAATGACATCTTTTGATATACATTATGACCCATATTCATGTAAGTGAATAGATTCGCGGTTTGATTGAGAAACGCTAATATGGCTCCATAGAGAATATCTGGGTTATTAATGGCACCATGACATATTTATTGTAGATATGACTAATAATAATAATTGTTTTTATGTGGGCTATAATAGTTACCAGCAGCTAATTATTAACATGTGTCAAATAGCGACACGTGTATCTAGCGCCGTTGTACGTTGTAATATGCGAAGCAAGATTCCAGTAATCTACCAATCATTAATCTATCTTCTAATTTTGGCACTTAAACAAGTTAACAAAAAAGAAATTTTAGATACTTATATACAGAACAGCATACATGTAATTTATGTTCAAATAGATTGATGTATATGAAAAAGAAACTGATTTCTCTATTTTAATAATTTTGCTCAAGTTTTTATCTTGCTCTGCTTTAATTCTTTCGAAAAATAAACTAAAATTTTAATTTATTAACATTACACATACAGTTACAACTACTACAAGAATACGAAGAGTTCTACGAAGTTTTATATTAACTGTGCGTCATATCCGAGTGAATTGAATAGTCGCTTGAGGATATATCCAAGAAACGAAGTGCACTCCAACAGTACGAAGATTGCATTATTCAGACTTCATCAGTGGAACGGCTTCATACACATCGCATGATGACACAGATTATTGATTCTTTCGTGGAGTGCCCTCGATTCGCAGAGCTGGTATCTGTATATTATTTATAAATATTAAAGATTCCGTATATATATATATATATATATATAATGGATACACATGGACAATGATTTAAGAAGAATAACAGATACCCCCCAATAATTTTATAAAAAATTCGTAAAAAGTTAGACTTGGAAAAAGGATGGGACGTGGGCAAGGGTTGTTTGGTGTCATAGATACATATACACTGGAAAACTTACACAATTTTCATTACTCTTTTAAGAACACTGTTCCCCATAAACGGTATCGCATGATCATACCTAATACCCATCAAACGTATCACAGTAACATTAATTAAGAATATAATACATGATGGAAGAAATGGACTAGAAAGATATATGTAATGTGATATTGAAATAAGCTAATTCTCTTCTACACTATATTATCAAAAATATAGCTGTATAAAATAAGCTGTATAGATCAATATTCAGCCATAAGTGAAAATATAGAAGGCAAATCTTGGTTATCCTAAGCGACTTTCTTGATACCGTTCTTGATACGGTTTAAGTGGAATAGACGAAGAATCTAATTTTAAATGGAATAGACGGAGAATGCACAAAGTGAAGATAAGACGTGCGCAGGGCTGTTGGGTGTTACAGATGCTGATTTCTGCTGCGGAATGAGAAGGCCTGGTGACAGTACCGGCTTGACAAACCAGTCGTCGATCTTCTCTAACGACCTCGAGAACCAGAACAAGAACCAGAACAATAACCACTATACGTCGCACCAATACCTTCGCACTTACCTTCGCGGTCCGTTCTTTAAATTTTATTTCTTGTTACTACCTAATGTCATTTACATTGAAAATAATTCACCATTATCATAATTTCTTTTGATTAACTTAAACTGATCTACGCGGCTTATTCAGTACTAACTTGATTTTCGGTTATATTAAAAAAAAAAAATAATATTATGACGTATATTATTGAATCTTTAGATAGAAATTTATGTATAGCTTGTCTCGAAGGAATTATAAGAAAATATTATTTTGTTAAGAAAGAAATATGTTGATACATTAATGCATATTTTTTTATTTACAAATATAACAAATAATAATAATCGTTTTACGCATATAACAACATGTAATTAAATTTTCATAAATTGAATTTTGTTTATAATTTAGACACTAAATTTGAAGACTAAAGTTTTAAAACCTAAAATTTAAACAAGAAAGTAACATTTTATTTTATAATTTGGTACAAATTTCTGACTATTATATTTATATTTTAATTTAGTGTTGACTGATGATTCTATTGTATAATACATTTTAGTATGGTGTAATGGTATTATGCATATTAGGGGTAAATTCACAGATTTCAAGGGCTTTGATATACACGTATTTATATTATCAAGGATACGGCAACGAATAACTAATAATGAGTAACTTTCAAAAGGTTTTAGCGCGCGCACGTATATGTGTGTGTGTCTGTGTATTTATATATGTGTGAAACATTATTCTCGAGGTAAATAACTTCTCGGGAGAGAAGTGTAGGAGAGAAAAATATATTTGCTTCGGCAAAATGCATATTCCTTCTTAAATGTACATGGTGTCAGAAAATTACGTTTTTATTCATTAAATTTATTTTATTGATAACTTTTTAATAAACAACGAGCGACGGCTAAAACCTTTTGAAAGTTTCGCAAAGGGCCGTGATAATATATATTAAGACCACTGAAATCTGTGAGGTCGGCCCTAAAAATAAGCATAATTATCAATATAATAAAATCAGGTTCCATGTGAAAGCCGCGCACGCCTTTGCTAACAAGAAATAATCGAAATACTTCCGAAAATAATCACTAATTGTGATTATAGCCAATTGTAAACTTGATTATTGATAAATAACTAATATACAATTAATTGGAGTACTGATATATAATTGAGTACTGAATGGGGCGTGTGTATGTGTGTATCGATCTTTCGCGCGATGGTTCATAGGTCGGGTCAGGTAGTATACATAGAAATATATCTCATATAATATATACCAAAATTTATTTAATTATATTAATAAATTATACATTGTGATTTATTGTTTGAGAGATATTGTAAGTATTCTTGCAGTTTTGCTAAATTTTGGTTAGAGATAGTTCAATTGTAGATCATTCATAAATTTGTATACATATGTTGTATTTATATTATATTCAAAATTTATATTATATTATATTCAAAATTTATTAACTTTTAGAAACTGGAAAGCTGTTTTTTTAAATTTTTTCTTCATTTTTTCCTAGAATATTACTTTAACATGTATATTTAAAAATTCTAAATAAATAATTTTAAAAGATGTCCACAATAAAAAGAAACATCCAGTTTTTAAAGATTTTTTATCAAATTTTTGTAGTAAAAATTGCTTTTAATTTAAATAGAGCGATAAATTACATAAGAATGTCATTGACGTATCAATGTCTAACTATTCTCGAATGCATTAGTCATATTGATAAATACATTGTTGACCTAAATCTTCGCCATATAGTTTTAGCAATCTTGTATCCATATACGTATCCGTACATTCATATATACATACCCACAAAGAGATAAATAAATAAGGCGCATTGACAGTAATAGAATCAAGGTATGATAATGTTTAATTACAAAATATTTGATATTAAAAAAGAGATATATACTTGATTGGTACTACGAGCTCGTGTCTGTGGGACTGTGATTTGTGATGTGTATGTTTAGTTGTGGCAGCGGACCTTCCCCCTCACCTATAATCATCATGAATCGTTTTTCATTCATTATATGCCTCCTGACTTTACGATATGTTTAGACATTATTGACACATTTCACTCGCTTAACTTTTCTTATGTGGATAAGATACTCGAATGAAATACTTTTTTTTGCCTCTATATTTAAAAATATAAAAGAACAAACATCTTTGTGGAAATACTTTAGTAAATATGCGTAAAAGGTTACGGCAAAACTTCTGAAAATGTTCACGTTCCGATTTAGCTCAAATTTTAAAAATAAGTTTTTATAGATAAAAAAATGTATACAAGAAGGATTTTTTACGATTCAAAAGTTAAGGAACTTTTTTAACAATTTTTTATATTTTTTGTATATATTAACGTGCAATGTTGCAATAATATTTATCCTGATGTATATTATCACGGCCATGTCCTTGATTATCAGTTATGTGTACGTTATATTAACAAAATTTTTTCTCTAAATTTTCTTAATTATATCTTATAATCTAACATTTTCTCTTTAAAATGTGTTTTTAATCATTACGCCACGAATTTTTTATTGACAATAAGTTACGACGATTTAAAATGAATAGTGCATTTTCAGGGTTTCTTCCCTAAAAATTTATATTCTGCCGCCGGTATTGGCATTACCCAAGGTGTACCATGGGAAGGTTGACTTACATCTTGTGTGTGTGTGCGTGTATGTGTGTGTGTGTGTGTGTGTGTGTGTGTGTGTGTGTGTATGTGTGTGTGTGTGTGTGTGTATGTGTGTGTGTGTGTGTGTGTATGTGTGTGTGTGTGTGTGTGTATGTGTGTGTGTGTGTGTGTGTATGTGTGTGTGTGTGTGTGTGTATGTGTGTGTGTGTGTGTGTGTATGTGTGTGTGTGTGTGTG